CCAACGGATTTACTTTACCAAACTGACCATCCCAGCCTTGCCATAATGGTCCATTTGATTCACCTTTTATTGTTTATTTTATTTTCACTTACTGAATACGGGACAGACTTGACTGGAGGAAAGAAAGAGGGAAAGAGAAACAGCTGAGAAGAGGGACGGGGGAGAAGGGCAAAAGACAAAAACCAACAGAACGGGCAGAGAAAAAAATGCATATATCAATCACCTGGATCACCTGCTGAGAAAGAAAAAAGAAAGCAAGCAGAAGAGAACAAGACTAATAGAATAAACAACATCACAATGATATATGGGAATATGACAGTAAATACTAAATATTAAACATTATTGTGCAGCACATAAGATCAACAGAACACAGTGTGCTTTGAGGTAGGAGCCAAAAAGGGTGTAGTTTGTGGGTGTGATCACCCGTGTGTACACCTGTGGGCCTGGACGCGCTTGTTTTTTGTTTTTTTTAAAAGGTTCCTTCATGTAATAATCTGCTAGAGGGTGTGGGGGGGCCACAGCCCCGTCCTCCAGGGCGTGAGGCAGGTATGGAGGAGATCAAAACTCCAGACATCCAGAGGCCCCCAGAACACAAGAGACCAAGGAAGACCAACAGAGGGGCAGCTGCGCCACTGTCCCAGAAAGAGCTGAGGAGAGTCCCAGATGAGGGCTCACTCAGCAGCCGCGGAGCAGAAGCCAGGGGGAGTTGCAGTGACGAGCCCGTGAGCTCCGCCGGCAGCCAGCCGTGCCTGAGTGACCGAGCCCCAGGCTGAGAGGCCGGGGGCACCCCACCTCCGAAGTGGCCCGAGCGAGCCCCAGGCTCCAGGCCCCAATAAGCGGCCGCCAAGGAGTGAGCTGGTGTGTACCTGGATGCCCATCCCTGCAAGGACATTTCCTGACTGGACTTGTGACGTCCTATCACTGTACCATGCTTCCTGAGCTCCTGAGAGTGACCGAAAAATGTTTGTAGAAGTGGTCTGCATGCCTAGGTGCTTGACACCTACGGCCATGGAAGTGACTGAAACAGCTCAATTTAGTGGTTTGGATGGGTGAGTGAATACTTTTAGCAGTTTAGCGTAGGTGGATAGTTACATGAGGGATGAATGGATTGACGATCGATCTATGGATAGACAGATGGACAACAGGGATGGCCATGTTAGCAAGTGAGCTTTCAGAAAGAGTAGAAATACTGATATTTATCTTTGTGTCGTATTGATTTTTGTGTATCATATCAAACAAAATGTTCCGAGTTGACTTCAGCGCAGAGAGAAGTCCGTCTTATGGTGTTTGGTTCACTGTCATCCTGTCAGGTTTCCTGTCTTGTTGCCGTCCTGTTGGCTGAGCCCTTTGTGACCCTTTTATAAATAAAGGTTTACGCACAAACTTACTGATAACGCCACACATATCTGTGTAAGCCCTGCACCCATCCACCCATTCAACCGTTCCTACCAGCTGTCTCTCTCGTCTTCATCCCTCCATCCCTCAGCTGTCTGACACAGGAGAGAGGGAATAATTAATAGTTCATTTTCCAGAGTGCTTTGACTTTTTCTTGGAAATGACTAAGACGCCTGCCGAATTCATGACTTTTTCTCTCTGTTGTGTCCGTTCTCTTTTTACCTAAACCATCCTTCCACTCCCGTCCCAACCACCTTTTAAGTTTTACGTTTTTTCATCCATCTCGATGCTCTCTCTTTCTCTCTCCAGTTAATACGCTCTAAACCAGGACAAGTTTGTGTGAAGCCTATTTACTGACTCACACAGCCGCAATAAATCCCTGCAAATGCTGCGCTCACACACAAACACACTGAACCACTGACTCTGAAATGCCTTCTTTAAAAATTCTGTTTTGTTTTTTTGCTCCCTGCTGAACTGATGGACTCAGAAATAACTTTAAAAATATGATCTAAGGGTGAGGATCATATTGCACATAGTGGAAAAGTAATGCAATTTTAGTTTGGGTTAAACTTTAGCTTCTATTTGACGTTATTCATGTCAAGAGCGCCATCACCACCAGGCCTATTTGAGGCCAAAGAAAACAACAAGAAAACATCTCAATCTGGATAAAGGTTTAGGACTTACATTCCTGTAATAACAGTCTCTTTTTCAAAATTGACTCAAAAGCTGTTTCATAGACTGGTGTGGGTTATTGTTTCTTCATCATTTACGCTGGAAAATGACTGGAGACGTTTCCAAAACACGCGACTGGTCTTTAACCTGCCAGCTCCCCTCGTAAAAAGCCAGAGCGACGCATTGTGCCAAGGTGCAAATAGCACAGGTGATAGTCTGGTAAATACACAGAGCGAGTGGCTGGCATGCATCTCTGCTCTGGCCTTTCCACTGCCCTAACTATTCACAGACAATTTAATGCACTGCAAACTGATCTGAAGTGAAACGATCCAGAACCCGCTGAAGTTCAGACTCTCGACTTTAATGAAAAGGGTTGAACAAAGTCATAGCATTAGCTAACACTATTGTTAAGGTATCTATGCATAAGAAGCAGATGATTCCCTGGATGGTGCTTTGCAGTTTATATGGACAGTGGCCCAAAACATGCAGTTGAAGCAACCCGGATAAAGTTAACAGCTATTACTTGATCTCAGTCTTAGTGTTGAAGACGAAACTAAAGGCAAGAGCCACAAACAGCAGACAACAAGAGGCAGACACAAAGGAAACACATGTATCTGAAGACAGTGCTGCATTTTAACAGGATATCCATTAATCATGTTAGTTTGTCCATTTACATTTGGGCCCCTGGGTATAAATGAAATACTCAACAGTTAATGCAACAATGCAGTTTTCCTTTTTAAATCTGTCATGATGGAGTACAGGACCAAAATTAGGAAAATGGTTTTACTGTGCAAACATTTATGGACCATTTCGATTGTAGTTGAACTTTTAAATGCACATTGGCACATAGCATTTGTGCATAGTGTTAATGCCTGCATAATACACTATAAAGTCTGTAAGCACAGACTTAAACAGCTGTCGGACCAACCACAGCGCTCTCATCTCGTCTCCCACATACAGCCCAGTGTATCCCAGAACAATGGGTGGATGCTATAAGCTTATTTTAGTTTGGAAACACAGAGACGCCATGGGAACCCCGAGCTAGTCCCCCCAATCCCTGGCTGTCACTCCAAATGACCCCACAAACACAGACAGAGATCTATATATTAAACCTCCTTTTAATTAAAAGCTAAATTAACTGCAGTGGTTAGAATGAAAACGCAGCAGCAGTGTGCTGATGCTCATGTTGTACATGACTCACAATCCTAAGCTGTATTCTTGAAATAATTTTTCATCATCCAGCCTGAAAAAGTTGGAAAAATATTCGATTTATGTTCAAAGTTTTGTTGTTCTGTGTCACATTTGATTTGATCGACTTAAGCCATGTTTCTATGCGATCTGATTTGTTGTGCACATGTGAAGCAGGCTTCTCTCAGGTCCTCCCGTTATGTCTGTTTATAAAAGTCACTCTACAGTTTGTGGATCAGGAGGATCAGGGACGTGTCTAACAGTCTGCTGCTTTCCACACTACACCTCTCTGCGTAACACAGCCTAATTCAGTCATGTACTTGTAACTGTGGGACACATTAAGTAAAATATCACAGAACAGAGCACCGACCGATATAATCCAGGGCACCTTTACACCCCGCGTTGTACAAATGAGATAAGCTGCTGATGTGTCTGTTGCTTAGTTTCCTGTAAAATAATTTCAGCTGCTTTGCTGGTTCGTTTTCTGTGATTCTTTGAAGCCTAATTAGCCAGCAGCTGCTGCGGCCTGACAGCAAACAGCTGGAGGGGATCGATCCAATCAAAAGATGAGATTAGCCAGACCGCAAATGTATCCGAAACAGTTCAGAAATGACCTTGACCTGAGGTCACAGGCGCACACACAACAATCTCACATCACCTTAGAGAACTTCACAATGACAGACGAGACTCACTAAAACTGAAACTGTCATATTTGTAAGGAAGCCACACACA